ACAAATTAAAGATTTTCTAAACTTTAAGCCCTATAATTCCAAATGAGTATAAATCTGTGAGTGTTTTTTGTTGATGCGAGTAATATGTATTAAGACAAACACTTATATAAAAGCAAAGCTTGTATTAAGATCTTTATATCACAGCTTGTATTAAGTGTCGTTTTTGTGACCGTTTGTATATCATTAGAAATTATGACGAATTGTTACCAATATTAAACGTTACAAAATTTTGTGACACTTTTAAGACTTAAATGGATTTGTGAAGATTTTATTGTGACGTTTTAGAATTCGTAACATTTTTGTCACAATAAAAAATTTGTGATGAAATATTCATATATTGTGCCAAAAATTATTGTAACAATATTGTGGCATTGAAATAAAACACTTAAGGAGTTATAAATCTGTGAAAAAAATCAATGATATTTAGGAAACAAATCCATACCATTTACCTCCGTTTCTCCGAGAATGGTGCAGCATGGGTAAACATGTACGATCTAAATATGACTCTTCCATATGTACACTATAAAGTTTATAGTATAAAGACATGAAAATACAAAGCTTATCAATCTCAAATTCTACCAAGTGAAAGCTTACAATGTTTAGATAAATTCCATTAATCATCTCAATCCATTAAAAGAAAACCAACCAGATCTTCCAGAAGAACCAAAATCAAAAGGAACAATGCCAAGAATCATATCAATCAAGAATTTAGATTTCGCTAAGACAAAAAATCTAATCGACTAGTATTACAAACCCAAAAAGCCAAAATAACAAGTAAACAAGAATTATTTCTACATAGTTCGAAATCCAATAAAAGCCCATAATATTAGTTTTATAAACATTTTCTTAATAAAATCACGATAAACCGATACAAAATCACGATAAACTATGGATTAACTTCTCAAAATCTTGAATTATGTAGAACTATACAACTCTTGTCGCATAGACCATTCACCTTAGTAATTGGGATTCAGTCTAGGTTTAATCCGGTTTCTTAATATGACAACTCTTGTCGCGTAAGCACTCTCGATTCAATTTACCTACATTTGAGTTAAGACACTTAACAATACACTCGAACTTTTCAATACTCAGAAATCATTTCTCATTCAGAAATAATCTACCAATATTTCTCTATTTATTTCCTTAAAATATATAAGAAATACAACTCGGCTAACACGAGTTTATTCTGTACTACTTAACGTTCTCTTCCCATAAACGCTTAAAACTTCCCATGAATTTTTAGCAAAAAAAAAAAAAAAACTTCCCATGAAACTAGTTACTCATGTATAGTAACCATTAACGTGAGTTTATTTGGAAACTTCAAAACTCTCAATCCAAAAATTTACCAGGTCAAACTATATTCTATTTATATTCTTATGTTTCACGCACAAAGCAGATATGGCCTTGACCAACCACGCCCCTTTGCGTTTTACACCCAGTCCCTTTCTATTTCTTTACGGTAAGTTATTGTGGTTCACATGTTTTACACCCAAGTCCCTTTGCGTTT